AGCAGCGCCCTCCCACCATGCACTCAATGTCTTGCAACCTCCTCCCACCATATAACTGCTATTTAGGTCAGGGCCCGTACAATTACACCATTGTGAAATTTCACATTTAAATAGCTGAAATCATAAAATTAATCATGAAATGTCTGATTTTTAAAAAATACTAGGACTGTGAAACTGACCAAAATGGACCTTGGATTTGGTAGGGCCCCTACTTATAACCCGTTATCCTTTCCGAGTGTCACCAGTCTGTCTCTCCCCCGGAAGCCCTAGGAACTAGGGATGTTAAAAATTAAGTAAACGTGTAACTGCTGAAAGTTTCAGTGGTTACACGTGGGGGCTCGCTGAATGCAGCGCGCCTGCCTGGCCCTGTGCACATTCCCTGCCCACATTCCGATTAGGAACCAGAGAAGAACGCCCGTGACAGAACCCCAGAGAACAAGCAGCGGTTACATCACAGGCGTTTAAAACGCTAAGAAGTTGTTACTCACCTTGTGCAGTAACGATGGTTCTTCAAGATGTGTCCCCGTGGGTGCTCTACTCTAGCTGTTGGGCTCATCTTGTGCTGCAGACCGGAGACTTTTTCAGCAGTGGTCCAGCCGGGCCGCGCATGCGCGGCCAGAGGCACACGTCACTCGTGCCGGCTCTGAACATGCGCAGCCCGATTCCCACCAGTTCCTCCTAAGCAGAGAATTTCTGAAAAACAGAAAAAAAACTCCTAAGAGGGGATGAGGGCAGGTCGTTAGCACCTACGGGGACACATTTCGAAGAGCCATCGTTACTGCACAAGGTGAGTAACTTCTTTTTTGATTGGTCCCTGTGGGTGCTCTACTCTAGGTGACTTCAGAGCAGTAGTCTAGTCTATTCAGATGCGCATTGGTGTTCCGAAGTTTGTGCCAAAGGCAAGACTGCCGAGGCTACTGGTGAGTCATGGGTAGAGGTGTTAATAGCATAGTGTCTTGCAAACGTGGAGGCCGATGACCATGTGGCCGCTTTGCATATGTCTGGTAGGGAGACCCATTTGATAATGCTGTGGAGGTTGCCATTGCTCTTGTTGAGTGCACCCTCAGTGAACGGGACGGATCCTTATTCTGCAATGCGTAACCATGGGAGATGCAGGAGACGATGATCTTAGAGAGGCGTAGCGCCGAAAGAGGTTGGCCCATGGAGCACTGAGCCATGGACAATAACAAACGCTGGGATTTATGAAACCCTCTCATTCTATCTAGATAGATTTCAAGCACACACCGGACATCCAAGGTGTGCAGCTGGGACTCTTGTAGAGACGAGTGTGGTTCTGGGTGGAAAGTTGGGAGTATGATGGGTTCATTAATGTGGAACTGAGAATTCACCTTGGGAAGGAAGTTGGGGTGAGGTTGCAGTATCAGTTCATGGTTTGTGAACAGTATGTACGGCAGTATAGCCGAGAGAGCGGCGATCTTGCCCACTTTTTGAGCAGAAGTGATGGCCAGCAGGAACGTAACTTTCATGGTAAGCATTGTCAGGTCAGACGTTATCATAGGTTGAAAGTGAGACTGTGAGACTATCTGCAAGTCCCAAATGTCTGTTGGTTGTCTATGTATGGGATATAAATTAGCAACCCCCTTGAGAAGTCTTTTGATCATTGGGTGAGAGAATATCGAGGAGCCCTGTATCAGAGGTCGAAGGGCTGAGATTGCTGCGATGTGGACCCTAATAGAAAGGAGCGATAGGTCTAATCCTTGTAGGTGTAGGATATAGTCAATAATGTGTTGAAGAAGAATGGAGTTGGGGTCAAAGTTTTTGGTATGGCACCAGGATTGAAAACGACACCATTTATAGAGGTAAGAACGCCAAGTCAAGTCTCTTCTGCTGTGCGAGAGAACGTCTCACTTCTTGGAAGCATTTTATTTCCGAATGTCGGAACCAGTTAGGAGCCATGCCGTGAGGTGTAACTTGTGGATCTGTGGAGGTGCAAGCTTCCCTTGCTGTTGTGTCAGAAGATTGTGATAATCCGGTAGATGATATGGGGAACAGATGGACATCTGAGTGAGGATAGGGAGCCATGTTTGGCGGGGCCAGAAGGGAGCCACGAGAATAACTGTGGCTTTGTCCCTGACTATTTTCTCTAAGACCTTGGGGATCAGGGGAATTGGAGGAAACGCAAAGAGCAGATGTTGGCTCCAGTCTACGAGGAAGGCATCTCCCAGAAAGTTATGACCGATGCCTGCTCTCGAACAATATAGAGGGGTACTTCGCGTTGTAACTTGTTGCCAATAAATCTATGGCGGGGTATCCCCATCTCTGGAATATTCGCTCTGTTGTTTGAGGGTTCAATTGCCATTCGTGCTGGTGAATGACATGTCTGCTGAGAGTGTCGGCTATGATGTTGTCTTTTCCCGGTAGATATACTTCGGTGATGGTAATGTTGTGCTGGATGCACCAGCTCCATAAACGTATGGCTTCCGCACAAAGGTATTATGAGTAAGCGCCGCCTTGACGGTTAATATACTGCCATCATGTTGTCTGAAAGAATTTGAATGGTGCGGCCTTGAATGCTGGCGCGAAAGGCTTTGCAGGCATTGAATATTGCTCTTAATTCAAGAAGATTGATATCCTGTAGAGATTCTTGAGGAGACCAGCATCCCTAAACTTGAGAATCGCCGAGGTGAGCTCCCCAACCCAGTAGGGATGCATCTGTTGTTATCTGCATGGTGGGTTGTGGGCGCTGGAAGGGAACGCCGGTAAGCATATTCGCGGTGTTGTGCCACCATTTTAAGGATTCCCATACTATAGGAGGGACGGGAAGTAGTTTGCGGATGTTGTGACTTCCAGGACGATAGACCGAAGCCAGCCAATGTTGTAGACTCCTGAGGTGTAGTCTTGCGTGCTGAACCATATATATGGTAGCAGCAATATGGCCTAGGAGTCTGAGACAGGTAAGTATCGATGTTCTGGGACTCAAGGAAAATATCTGCACAAATTCTCGGATTGCCTGGAATCTGGCAACAGGTAAGTGTGCTGTGGCTGTAATGGCATCTAGTCGAGACCAATGAATTCGAGAGATTGATGTGTAGTTGTTGATGACTGCAAAATTGATCACAAGACCAAGGGTGTGAAATAGGTCCTGGGCGATGTTGATGGCTCATGATGCCTCTTCCATGGTGAGGGACTTGATAAGGCAGTCATCTAGGTAGGGAAAAATTATCATATTCTGTTGTCTGAGGTATGCGACTACAACAGCTAGTACCCGAGGAGAGTCCAAAAGGAAAGACCCTGTATTGGAAATGTTCATCTCCTAATTGGAACCTTCGGAAGCGTCTATGAGCCGGATGTGTGGTTACATGAAAATATGCATCCTGCAAGTCGAGGGACGTGAGCCAATCCAGTGTTGAGCACTGGCAAGATAGAGGCAAGCGTGACCATCTCGAACCTTGTTTTCTGTAAGTATCGATTGAGCCCTCAGAGGTCTAGTATCGGTTTCCATAGTCCCGATTTCTTTTCAATAAGGAAGTATGGAGAATAGAACCCTTTTCCCTGGAATTCTTTGGGTACCTTTTCTATAGCACCAATCCTGAGAAGGTGGAGAACCTCTGCCTTTAAGAGAGATTCATGAGATGGGTCTCTGAAAAGGGACCCGGGGGAGGAAGGAGGCAGAGCGATGAAGGGGATCGCATAGCCTGATGTAACTAGCTCGCAAACCCATTGTAGCCAGACACAAACCCCATCTTGTTTTTCCACAAGCCCCATCTTGTTTTCCCCCCCCCCCCAGGAA